CGCGATTGGCTAAGCCGTTGTCCGTATCCCAAGCTTCGAGCCATTATCTTGTCTATCTGCAGGCGGCCCCACAGCGTGGTTGTTGGTGGGAACGTCTGGCCTGCATCCCGCCAGCCTCCTCGATGTCTTGCCCGAATCAATCGCTGCATTCGTCTTCCAGAACGTTTGTATCGACGCTATACCAACGCTATCACCCGCAGATAACCGCGTTTGCAGTCAGAAAGAGCAAGGTCGCTGATACCGCGATTGAGGAATGCATGGGCCATGGGCTGGGCCTCCAAGACCAGAGTCGTTGGAGGCGCGAGCTAGTGGCTCTGGGCATTTCTTGGGGACGACTATCGCTACCCCGCGACCACCTGCTTTAGGCAGGAGGTTAGTCGATGGCATGCGACTGGGGCGCCACAGGTAATTGTTATCTTGGAACCAGCAAGCTCTTCTTGTCTCGCTGCTTGCCAGTGGTGGTTAGCAACTTGGCGAGGCTTGAGTAGCCCAGGACGCCTCGGCGATGCGGTGCGAAAAGAGCATCGTGCAGCACCTATCGCGCACGCGCCGAATGCCTTTCCGGGCACAACAGCCGCGGTGGCAATGCGTTTGCTGATGGACAGACGGTGGTGAAGGAGTCGATACGGTGCCCATCCCTGTGTCGGTGTGCGCGCCTTCCTTATCGGGCCTGAAGCTGTAGAGCACGACGTCGGACCCGTGATTCGCGTGCTCAAATTAAATGCACCACCACCCCATTCTCTTTGCTCGTCAGGGTCTCTCTTCTCCTCGCCGCACCCCATAAACAATCACCTGGCTGCTTTCCCAGTCACTCAACCACGGTCCACCTTCACTGTCAAACGGCCTAGGTGCACGCCCATCATGCCTGTTGGTGACGCCGGTGAAGTCGTGAGTACACTCTTCTCAAGCTCTATTGCATACTTGCTAACAACCCTTGCAGCAAGCTGTCGGCTTGGACCCCGCTCTTATTGACGCTTCTGGCGACCCCACGCGCAAGCACCCCGAGATGCACACAACCTCTGCGCCCGCCTACCTCCACTCCGAGGGCAAGGCCACGCTCCAGGACAGCTACCTCAACGAGGCTGATGACTTTCCCACCGACGAGGAGCTCGCCACGCTTCGCCGTGTGCCCGCTAGGATCCCATGGAAGATCTTCACCGTACGTGATCGCACTCACAGAGCACGTGAGACAAACACTGACTTGACTTCAGATCGCTTTCGTTGAGCTTGTCGAGCGTATGAGTTACTACGGAACTGTTGCTGTATACTCCAACTACATCGCTAAGCCGCTCACTACGCCCACTGGAGCCGCGCTCAACCCAGATGATGCTGAGGCTCAGCCCGGTGCCCTCAACATGGGCAAGCAGGTCGCTTTCAGTTTGACTACATTCAACGCCTTCTGGGTCTACGTCTGCCCGCTTCTCGGAGCCTGGATCGCCGACACCTACCTTGGTCGTTTCAAGACTATTCTGTACTCCGTCTTGGTCGCTGAAATCGGTCACTTGATCCTCGTCGCCTCAGCTGCGCCGTCTGTCTTGGAGAACTCCAACACTGCCCTCGGCGTTTTTATCCTCGGTCTCATCATCATGGGTCTTGGAACTGGAACTTTCAAGCCCAACATTGCCCCTCTTATCGCCGAACAAGTTCCTCAGGAGAAGATGCGCGTTGAGACACGCGGTACTGAGCGCGTCATTGTCGACCCCGCTGTCACGGTCACCCGTATCTACAACTGGTTCTACTTCTTCATCAACATCGGTGCTCTGGTCGGTCAAATCAGCATGGTTTACGCTGAGCGATACGTTGGTTTCTGGCTCGCGTACCTGATCCCCACCGTCATGTTCATCATCGCTCTCCCCGTCTTGATCTTCTGCAAGAAGTTCTACATCCTCCGTCCCCCGAGCGGTAACGTTATGGGCCCTGCTTTCAAGCTTCTCTTCAAGGCTCTTGGACGCGGAATGAGCATCAACCCCGTTAAGACTTGGAAAAACTGGAACGACGGCAACATGTGGACTGCTGTCAAGCCTTCCGTCCTTGGCTCCGCCGCACCCAAGTGGTACAACTTTGATGACGCCTGGGTTGATGAGGTTGCTCGTGGTTTCGCTGCCTGCTCCGTCTTCTTCTGGGTGCCTATCTTCTGGCTTGCATACCGCCAGATGGACTCCAACCTGACCCAGATGTGCGCCACCATGAAGCTCGGCGGCGTCCCCAACGACATTCTCTCCAACTTGGACCCCATCGCTATCATCATCATCGTAAGTACTGTCCAATGGTCCAACGCCCAGAACGAATGCTAATCGTACTATAGGTGCCTATCATGGACTCTCTCGTTTACCCCTTCCTCCGCAAGCGAGGTATCCGCTTCACTCCGATCAAGAAGATCACCGCTGGTTTCATCCTCGGAGCCTTCGCCATGGTCTGGGCAGCGGTTCTTCAACACTACATCTACAAGACCTCGGGCTACTACGAGACCAAGGACCCCGAGTACAAGACCGACATCACTGTCTGGGCTGTTACCGGTGTCTACGTCCTCATTGCCATCTCCGAGATCTTCGCCTCCGTCACCACTCTCGAGTACGCCTTTACCAAGGCTCCCAAGAACATGAGGTCGCTCGTTCAGTCCGTCCAGCTCTTCACCACCGCCTTCTCTGCCGCCCTCGCCCAGGCTTTCACTCCTCTTACCGCCGATCCCCACATCGTCTGGAACTACGGAAGTGTAGCCATCATCTCCTTCGTCACCGGTATCGCCTTCCACTTCGCCTACCGGAACATGGACAAGAACGAAGACCAGCTCAACCTGCTGCCCACCGGTCACCTCGGCACGGAGGGTCAGGCTGCTGACATCGAGAGGCGCCAGAGCGTCAACGAGGAGAGGCGCGCTAGCCTTGTCGCTCAAGAGAAGATGTAAGCGGTTCACATCGCGATGTGTTGATGCATGATGTTGTGATTCGCTTATCGAGTCACCGTTCAACGATATACCCCTCAAACCTATTGGTTACCGCGATTAGGACGCTAGTCATGTGTTATGTGCCGCTCGCTGGATGCGTCGGCTACTGGTCATGGCTAGTTTACTTACTTTAATGCCAAACTATCACTTCAAATAAATTGTTCCGCTGCGTACTCGTGATGTAAAACTGAATAGATGACAACTGAGTCGCCCACATCGCACTTGTCCACGACACTCTTGGCATTGATATGCAGTCCAATCAACCTTCTTGCATCTACCTGCCATACCATTCGAGTAAGAATTTTACTACATAAGGGAAGGGTTTATTTTCTCCAAAACGCTAAGGGTGTCAGTCATCGTTGCGACACACAGAGGAGTTGTCGCATCATTCTGAAACGCGTCCTAGCGCGTCGCCTTAAATTGCCTCTTAACACCCAGGTAGAGCCCTCGGACTCCTCTTACATCTACACAGCACTAGCCATCATCTTCCGATTCATGTGGAATAGCCTTGACCACGACCGCAAAGTCTCAAATGTCGACTACTGAACTGCCAACTTCCCGCGGTGAAGCTTCCGCACATCTGGAAATGTACGCACTTTTAATATCTGACTTCTGCGTCACTGAAACTGACAGCACTTAGCTTCCGATTACAAGACCTTCCACTAGAGCTTCGCAATTATATCTACGAGTATGCGCTAGAGCCGAGGGTGACTCTCTGGCACAGTTGCTTGTACGACGAATACCGGCCGTCTACTTACCACTTGCCCAATCTCGAGCTGCATCCAGGTATGAAACATGCTAGATCGGCGTTCCTGATGTTGACGCAAGTACAGAAGATATGCAAGATGATGACGATCGATCCGACAGCTTCGAAGAAGATTTAGAAGGAGACAAGTACTTGGAGGATCCCAACTTGTCGATCGCGGGTAGCCCGCGTGATGATGGAAACACCGCCGTCTTGGCCTTCAAGATCTTGATAGCGACGCCTTCACTCGCTGTGTCTAAAGCTACCAATGAGGAAATGACGAAGGTACTAACCACCACCAAGAGATACTATGAGAGACTTCTGTTGTCGTCAATATATTTACACCGCATCACATCACCAAGCGCAGCTCTCATCGATTTGTGGGCCAGCTGCGAGTTCTTCCTCCGGCACGACTACGGCAAGTCCATATTCTTCCTGAGAGATCTTCCAGACTCGCTGAAATCTTGCGTTCGCCGGCTGGTGCTCCCTTATGATTTCCTAAGTCTTATTGCATACTCGCGGTGGACCAAAGAGCAGTCAAGAGGTGGGGCCTTATTTACAAACTGGATCTCAGAAAATTTCCCCAACTTACGGACGGTGGCGATTGAGGTACCAGACGTGTGCGAAGTCATGGAAATGAATTGGAATGAGGCTTCGGACTATCTGTGCGAGATGCTCAAGAACGGCCGTTTGGACACCGTGAGATTCTATTACAAAGACTATGAGAAGGGCGAATGTGCACGTAGGGAAACAGATTCCCTCTTTTTTAGACACATAACGCTAGAGGGATGTGACTATGAAGGGACAGAAGAGGAAGATCGGTCATTACTGACTGGAGTTGAGGAACCCATATCCCCTACCTCACTGGCGTCTCAACTATGGCGCGACTTGCGGGCCTGCCGTGTTGTCAAGATCACGAGATCGCAGGCAACAGCCTAGTACAGCGGCTGCGATACATCTTAGCAAGGCTCCCGATCGTCTTGTTGGTCGTCAGCACACAGTTCAGGCGTTGGTCGTGGTCTCGACGAATTCAGGCGTAAAGTGGATCCTCGTTGTAGTAAAGACACAAAAGCATGCAGAGATTCAAAGTTTTAAAGTACGCGCAATTCTTGGAGCTGTGTGACCGTGTATGCTACTTGTGAAAAGACTCGCAAGGCTCGAGCGACGGAACAAGAAGAGGTCCTAGCGTTCGCGAGACGCGTCTCGACGCGTCGCGCTAGTGCCATCCCCTCCTTCCGCGAGGCTGGGGCTCCTCTTCCGTTGTGTTCGCAAGCGCAATACCGAAGCCCGGTTTTACACACACCAACAGCAATGCGTGAAGAGACGGCGGAAGCATCGCGGTCTGGGCATGGTGATGCCGCCGCACATCTAGACTCGTTAGGACTCTCCGCCGTACGCATCGCGCTTCTATAGCTAACAATGTGCAGATTCCGTCTGCATGACCTACCGCAAGAACTTCGCGATATGATATATGATTATTCACTTGAGCCAAGAGCGATCTTTCGGCATACGAACCGCGAAGATCAACGGGAACAAAACCAGGGTTACGACCTGCCAGAGACGAATCCTAGCAAAGGTACGCAGACTCGGGTGTAACCACCACGTCAGGACTAACTCTCCCATAGAAGACCCGCAGATGATTCTCGATATGATGAAAACACCGCGAGTGCTTGATGAGGACCAGCCAGTTCCGGACGAGCTTTACGATGTGTTTTGGAACGACCCTAATGGAAGCTTAGGCGCATTCTCTGATCACCAAGATGTAATGCTCACGTACAAGATCTTCATGTCGACACCACTACTTCTTGTTTCCAAGGAAGTGAATAGAGAGGCGGAGAGGGTACTGCGGGCCAACAAACGAGGATGGATCAATTACTACAACGAAGTCGCGCGATCCAACATACATTACCATCGGATCATTAAACCGACCAGGGCTTTCCAGTACCTTTGGTCTCGCAGTCAGGTCGTTCTGGAAAACACTACCGCGGATACCATGTTCTTCTTGCAGTTCCTACCGGAGGTCTTGAAGAAGAGCCTTCATAGTTTGATCATCACGAAAAGCTTGATGATCGAAAACGAATTGTCGATAGCACTCTGGCAAACTGACGACGAAAAGGGCGGATCGTTCATGTCAAACTTGATCAAAGAACACTATCCTAACCTGCGTACAATGGCTCTTGAGATACCAAGCACGGAGGAAGAGATGAGAAGCAATATCAATAACGCTTTCGGGCACTTATGCGATATGCTCAAGATGAAAGATCTAGATGCCCTCAGGTACTTCTTCAGGGAGGCTTGCTTTTCTCAATCCGACGGCTGGTTCCTCATAGATGTGGACCTAGAAGGGTGGGAGCTCAGCGATGAGTCCGACGACTATGAGGTGGGAGAAGACGAAATTTCGGAGCGCTACAAACAACCCCTGGATGGCGTGGAGGAAACTATTTCGCCTACTTCAATCGGGTCTGCAGTATGGCGCGATCTGGGAATGGAGCGCGTCGTCAAGATCACGAGGTCGCAGACAGCAGCCTAGCGCTGTGGCTGCGACGTATTCTAATATGTGTTTTGAATCAGACCTAGGTTGCATTAATTTTTCCCGTCGCTCCGTCCTCCAGTCATTCTCATTGCGACAGTTAGTCAGGGGTGTGCCTATTGGCTGTGCTACGCTACTCACCTCGCTCGGCGCCCACTCACCACTAGCTAAACAAATGTGTAAAAAAAAAAATGTCTGGAAATATTGTCGCAACGTCGCGGTACTGCTTACAAGTATAGATGCCTTATTGGTGGTATACGTTGCGACAACCGTGGTCAAAGTGTGCAACCATGGTACCGAAAGTCTGCCGCCTTCAGGCATCAAGATCACGTTTTCAGTTCCAGTATGTATATATTGCGCTTGGCTTCCCACTCTCATCTCATCTCTACAATTAACTTCCTGTTCCCATTCATGCTCTACAATTAAACTATTGCAGCAAATACCGAAACTCAGACATCATGACTCTTACGATGATTCAAACCTCAACCCAGTTCGAAGCGGATCAGCTCTACAACGCCATTCACTACTCAGATTTCGCCTATGACTACACAACGGCGGTTTCAGCCTATTTGAAAGACTTTCCTGCTCTCCCCTCCGTTCCGACCACCGAATACTCCTACGCACCAACCTCAATACCTACTTGGTGGTCAGACTTCACGCACAGTACACTTTTGTCAGACATGACTTATCTAGTCTCACCAAGAGAGTTGAAATCTCTGATCGAAGCCGAATTACACCAAGGTCTCACGCAGTCAGCTATCCTCCAGCACTGGATGAAGAGATCTGGGAGCGAAATCCCGCTTGGCAGTGCCGCTGCAGCCGCAGCACTCCAAGACGCTATCATCGTGGCCTCTGATGCCGAGTGGTACGAGCACGATGACCATTTCATCACGGAACTCGGAATATCTGTTCTCGATCCGCGTTCCGTGCCACAACCATTTTCCTCATCACCATGGGGTATTCTCACCAGCATGGAGAACTACCACGTGCGCATCAAGCCCCACGCACATCTCACCAACAAAGACCTCTGCGAAGGGCATCCAGATGCCTTTCAATTCGGCAGCACAACCTTTGTCAGCGTGAAAGAAGCGAAAGAAATGCTGCGCAGCATTTTCACTCGCCGAGACATATACGGTAACCTACGTCCAATAATCTTCGTAGGCCACGCCGTCTCAAACGACTACGAAGTCATAAAATCGCGCTTTGGTCTCGACCTTGAAGAAATCGGCACCATCGTCGCAACAATCGACACACAAGTGCTGGCCGTAGAGCACGGCCTCGTAAACCCATCCCGCAAAATCCGCCTTGCACATCTCCTCGCCGAATACGACATCAAAGAACCATACCTTCACAACGCCGGCAACGACATCGTATGCACCATGATCGCCGCCTTCCTAATGCTTTGTCCTCCAACCCAAACCCCGCTCAACAAACTCCACTACGTGGACCTCAAAGCGCAACTCCACAATGCGGGCCAAACCGCCATCAAAGAAGGTCGCGGCTACGGCGTCACGCGTTTCTGCGAGAAATGCGATTCCCATCACCACACCGCACCGTATTGTCGCGTGAGCGTGTGGCACTGTGAACACTGCGAGAAAGACCCCCTGACACGACACATGGCCTATACTCATAATTCGCAGAAATGCATTCACGTGGTTAAGCAGGCTGCGCTGATCAAGAAACAGGGTAGCATGGGCTATGGACAGGGCGGATCGAAGCGCTCGAGTAGTCCTAATGCTGTGCCGTGTGAATTTTGTATTGAAAGTACAGATCCGAGAAGGTATTGCAATGAGAATGCTTATGGGCATAAGACGGGGGATTGTGCGTGGCGCAGATAAAATATATGAGAAAAACAGATTAAAATATTTTTAGTGTATGTTCTCCGATTCATGTGATATCTTGGTGTGTGCAAAGTGTCCAGGTTTGTGATGTTGCTCATTGCAGACTGTCTGTTGCGTATGGTTTCTGCGAGTTGAGGAAGGCGTGGATAGCTCATCGACGAATGCACTCTCATCGTCGATGCGCATGCATTGTTTGAGGAGATATCGGGTCGATCGAAAGTAGCTGTGCGACCTGATTCGCCAGGTCGTCTTCTCGTCGCGATACATGTCTTGCTGAGTGGGAAGGTGCAGCGTGCCTGCCTTCCAAGGTTAGCGATGTCGCACAGGGTTGAAGCGGTGACGTGAGAAGCAAACGAACATCCCCTCGTCGCTGCCTACGCGCTTTCCCCTTAGTATCTGGCGTATAACTATTGGATGTGGCACCTCCCATCCCAATCACTTTTGTACACCTTGCGCTTTCCATTCAGCCTTGTTCTCTTACATCTTTGGCGCACTACCACTGCTTGCCGACAAGCTTCGGTATTTCTACACGTTTGTGTTACCTCATCAACATGTCTCAGCGTTCACGATCATGCCTTGCCGCGCCTTTCATGACATGCCCACCGAGCTTATCGAGTCCGCCGCAAGATATATGGACGACGCAGACCTACTGTCCTTTCGCTTGACATGTAGACATGCAGACATGCAGACGCGAAGACTCTACGCGTATTCGGCAAGCGCTTCTTCTCCACTCTCAAGACCACTCTAATGGCGTCCGATCTCGCGAAGCTCGACGGCGTCTCTCGAAGTGCGCGACTAGCCAAATACGTCAGGACCATCCTGATCAAGGACGACCAAGAAAAGGTCATGCGGTCTGTTCTCTCGAGCGAAGCAGCCATTGCTAAGCCCATTGGCGCGGACCGAGAAGAGATAGAAAGTGGCGTAGCGTCGTTGTACATTATGGATTCGCAAGATCACTTGATCAAACGACAATGTTATCAAGATCCAGAAGAGCTAGCGAGATTGAGAGCGACATATCGCATCTGGTCGCGCGAAACTGTGGGCATCCTTGGGGTAGACAAAATCGCCGTTGCGAAATTGAAGGCTATACTCCAGGAACGCCTCTTGTCTCTGGACACTCTTACTATTGACTACTGTGACACTGGAGATGGAAAGAAAGATACAGAAGCTACCATCTCGCTTGCTCAAGAAATCATTTCAGGTGGGAAACTTGCCATTACTTCGTTTCAAGTCTACCTGCATATGCGAGGACTTCCCTGGATAGGAGCCACCTTAACCCTGTACCTTGATCGAGCCAGACAAGGAGAAGGTTTGGAATTCGATCTGCTTCGGAAAGTGGGATTACAGCTGTCGTCCGGTGGACCTTCGTCAGACCAACTGCTTAGCCAAATCTTCCACTGCGCGCCGATGTTAGAAGATCTCCGCCTGGAGCACTCAGGACGGACAGACGCCCAACTCGTCGACCTCCTGCACCGAGGAAAGTCCGTCTCCCCAAACTGAAGGAACTTTTCTTCGGCCACTCAGGCGATCCTGCCGGCTTCGTCAAAGGCGTTTTGTCGAATTCTCAAGACAGTCTAACGATGATCGGCCTCAGACGCATTTCCGCATTCCCACCGGAAGAATTCTTGCGCGAGATTTTGGACGAATACCCACAGTGGGAAACTTGGCAACCAGGCAACAGCAATGCTCCCTGGAGTGAGGAGGATGCAGATGATGACGTTTACGAAGTAGCATTGCGAGATGCGCCTGAGGGTCACTTCGACCCTGTTCCGAGGGAGTTCGATCTTCCTTTCTACTACTTGAAGTGGCCCTAGTATCCGAGTTGGCAGTACCTTCTCCTCATTGTATTTCACGAATTGTGGCACTGTACGAGAGAATTGCGCAGTATAATGACAGGATAGCTGGAAGCAATTTCACCGGCCTGGACTTGACCACCAAGGTAGTATAAGGCAGTAACCAAAGGAAACACCACTCACACTCGTAGGGCATGTTCTGACGTTTGCAATGACCCGTCAATCTCAAATTTCCTTTTGTATGAAAGCTACGTGAAGCTTCAGATACCAGAAGTACAACCGATCGTGAACAGCACCTCCGATACAACTCCACCAACTGCACCAATGCCCACCTAACCAGTCCCCATAACCCCTTCCATCCACGGATAAACAGTCCCATTCGCCTCAGGATACCCCATATGCAACCTCCCCTGCATAAACCGCATCTCCTTCGGACTCCCATACTCCGCCAGCAACATACTATCCTCCACGGGCATACACCCATCCAACACACCATTCACAAGCATCAACCTACAACTGCTCATACCCTGCCCCACAACAGCCACACCCTCTCCCTTGCCACTAACGAGCGAAAACTCGTCTTGGCATTTCTCTTTCATCTCGTCAAAGGACGAATAGCCGTATTTCTGGATATACGCTTCCTCGAGACCGAACGGGTATTCGTGTTTGGAGATCTGCGAGAGCCATTCTGAGCCGATGTAGTGGTGTGTTCCTGCGCCGTGGCCGACGCTGCCGAGGAGGCGGGAAGAGTGCGTGTGCGCGAGGCGGATGGCGTAGTAGCCGCCGGCTGAGAGACCCCATGCGATGACCTTCTTCTCATTCAGATAGGGTGTTTCGCGGATCCAGTCTAGGATGCTGGTGAAGAGGCGGTCCGGCGAGAGCGGATCGCGCTTGTTAGCGGGACAGTCGACGGTCGTGCCGGGTATGTCGCAGATTACGGTTGCCCAGCCGCGGTTTAGGTGCTCTTGGGTGCGCTCCGTGTTGTCGGGGCGGTGGCCGTCTAGGCCGGTAATGAGGAGGACAGTGGGGAAGGGGCCTGGGCCAGTGGGTTTGCGGATGTAGAGGGGGATGGAGGTGCCGTCGCCGTTGGAGGCTTGTTTGTGGGGTATCACGACTTCTTCGAGGGGGATGTCCCATAGTTGTGCGCCGCGGAAGTAGACTTCCTTTTGCTCTTCGAAGACCTTCTTCTTGAGCTCCGTACCGATGTAGGGGAACCGAGCTAATCTGTATACAGCGTTTGCGTTTAGATATAGTTTCTTCGCTGCCTCTTTGTCCCTGCTTTCCAACTCTTTGGCTTCCTTCGCTAGGCGTTGCGCTGTTGGCAGGAAAGCATTGGTGTATGCGTCGTCGTAAGGGTCGTCGATCTTGTTGTCGATGAGGTGTTTGAAGATTGGTTCAAAGTCCTCAAACTTGCCATCGTGGAAAGGGTAAACGCCTTTGGTGCAGGGGAACTTCCAACGTTGTTCCCAGAGTTTCTGGATACTGCCGCGATGTCCATATTCCTTGGTGAAGAGGTCTCCGAGGATCCAATTTCCGTTGGGCATGATGCAAATCTTTTGACCGAAGGGATGTGCAAGAGTATAGTTTAGGCAAGCTGCCAGCTGTTTGCATGTCGTCGTCGCGCACACAAGCGTTGTATATACTACCGTTTCGGGATCGGCGGGGCCGGCTCGCCAGTTGCTTCAGGCCCGTCCGGACGGACCCCCGCAAAATGAACTACGGCTTCCCGTAGTCTGCATCAACCAAACGTACGTTAAACTTCCGATGAAGCTGACGTTGATCTACATGGATGGTGCGACAAAGTGGCAAGACCCTGAATGCAGGTACGCGGATATGCATTATTGCCCGGGAAACTCTTCTACCTCTTCCTCCTCCGCTTTACGCTTCACGTACTCTCTCAGGACATGCACCAATCTCGTCCTACCGTCTTGCCTCTCGAACACCTGTGCGTGGTCTACAGTAGGCCACCAAATCGTCTCTGTGCCGTGGCCTCTCCACTCGGAGTCCTTCCAGGTTCTGTCCTCGCCCTTGAGGTCAGCACCATTAAGGTACTTCCCTATGGTCTCGGTGTCAACTATCAGATCCCTGCCACCGAGGCTGACACTCACGTCCCGGTCTTTGAGGTCCTCCTTCCACAGTATGTTTTGTGCCCAGAAGAACTGGCGCGCCAGGGTTTGCGCAACCATCATATCGGTAGAAGCGAAGTAATAGAGCTGGTGCTCGTTCGCGCCTTTCGGTCGACGCGCGGTAAAGTTGTACGCCACATCGGGAAGATGTAACAGGAATGTAACAGGGTCGATGAAGACCATCGGGCCGATTTTGGCAGCGGTGATGGGGTCCCGAAGCAGGTGGGTAGAGATGACGGAGCCGTAAGAGTGACTTGCGAGTACAACTTTGTCGAAAGCATGGCGTTCCAGGATCATGTTGATCTGGCGACAGATGTCGTCTTTATCAGGAATCGCCCCAGTAATGCGGAAGCTGACAGGCATGATTTCCACAGCGACAATACCGACCTGACCATCTTGTGCCGCAAGCGGATCGTGCTTGTTTATCTCGTTCAAGAACTCGACGTATGGGTGCAGGCCGATGCCGATGCCGTGTACGAAGAGAATGGGTAGTCGCGTCTTGGAGATGTGTGGTCGGTACCAGTAACTCAGATCAGGCGCGGATGAGATGTTGCGCGTAGTGAGACTGGCGAGCCGCGGTGGAAAGATGGCCAGCGAGGAGCGAAGGTGGGTGCGGAAGAGCATGAAGCCGTAGTAGCGCAGACGAGCGGCGGTAAGGGTATCGACCAGCATAACGATCTGTCGCCGTCAGTATCACATACAATCTCAAGACCAGCAGACATACCATATACCACAGAAACGGCCGATGCGCCATGTTGACTTGGTCGATAGTCAGACGCAGGCACTTTGCGCTGCCCATACCAGGCGCCAGCTTCCTCCCTAGCATCGTCTCTATGCCGTCCGCATACTCGTTGAGCTCGTCGTCCTCAGCATTGGTTTCTTCCGGGTGCGCCTGCCGCCTCTTCCTCCGCTCCTCATCGCTCTCTGTGCCGCGGTTCAGCAGTGCCCACGCGAAGAACTCGCGCACATTCTCGCGTCGTATTTCGCCCGGTCTCGCGCCCAGAAACCACCTGCTGACGTAGTACTCGGGGTGCGGGATCTTATCCCAGCATCGCCAGAAGAGCTCCTTCCTCTCCTCCTTCTCGAGGGGCGGCGGGTGTTGCGCCGAGGCTTGAAGCGCGCGCTTGCGGGGAAGGTAGACGAGCAACCAGAAGGCAGTCTCGATGATGCTCCACGTGAGGAGAAAGCGACGGAAGGCTGTATGCGGGGGCTCTGCGATGCTGAAAGAGACCCAGAAGATGCTGAAGGGCGTGATGGCGCGGAATCCCAGGATGCACGTCCTGATGAGAAGGTACTTGGGGAGCGTGTTTTCGATCATGGCGAATGTGCGACAAGATATTAGCTATCAGAAAGTCAACCGCACCCCATCGAAAGGCATGGCGGGGGTATTATCGTTATCATGGTGGAAGTTGTTGACGGCTACACGGCAGGGTTGCTGCTTACAGCCCGCCGATGACGCAGCTGCCTGCTGCTTTCTTTGGCTTAGTCAGCAGCGCATCACACTTCTCGCAACCAACACCGTATTCGGCAGAGTGTACATTCATCCTATATTGCTCGCATCTATGCTAGAACCAGGGTATCTTCAAGGCGTTTTCAGCCGTCATCTGAACTTCCAAAAGCAACTAGTCACCTCCCGGCCTGTTCAAAGCGCCGCCAATCTAACGCCGAAACACCTGTGCAGTCCTTCTGCCATCTCAACCTTGGTTGTATCCTCCCTGTCCTCCACGTGGAGGGTATCCACCACGACCGCGACCAAACGAAACGTTGCCATAGCCGCCTTGGCCGAGGTGTCCGCCAAACCCCCTGACAGAAGGGTGTCCTCCAGGGCCTGGCGGGGCGAAGCCATGTCCACCAGGGGAGTCGAAGTACTGTCGGAGACTGTCATAGTTCATGGTAGAACCAGATGGACGAGTGGTACCACGACGTGACATGGGACGACCCCAGTTGGAGTAGAGCCCCCCACGATGCGGATTCTTGGTCTTTGGTTTCTTGAGGGCCCGAGCGATAGCGTCCTTCTCACGCCGAATGAGCGCTTTCTTGTTGGCTACACAGATGCAGTGCTCGGTGACGTGTTCCTTTCCTGGCTCGATATTGCACTTGTTCTCCTCGCACTCATCACAATGAAGGTTTGTGGCTGTGCAATCTGGCTTCATGTGGCCGACAGTACCGCACTTGAAGCAGTACTTCTCAACGCCACCGAGGCTATCATCGAAGTTCGCCACACTATGGCGCTCCAGATCTTCCGCCACTTGCTCCATGCTCTTGTGTGCGAACTTCTTGCACTTGTGTCCGCCCAAAACGATTTGGAAGGCGGAGATCAACGTGCGAGCGGCGTCGTTTGCCGCCGTGTGGGAATCACGATGCTCGAAGGAGAGCTCTTCGACCATACGCCTGAGACCAACCTGCTCGTTCCTCGGCATCATCCAGTAACCCTTGTCACGAACCAGCAGCTGGGTGTCGATGTAGCGGACCACGGTACCGATTGGCTCCATGTCGAAAGCAATAGCCTTGGACTTGAGGTTGTTCAGATCGTGTCCGACGTCGTGGCCGAGAACGACGATGGGGAAGTTACCCTTGAGGT